TTTGATGGCTTTGCGTGTATCCGTGGGTAGCATCCGAGAATGCACTTTCTAGAAGCACTCATTGAGGTCAATTTGGATACCCAAATGATGCTACTGCATTGGGCTTCCTCTCAGCCTTTGTTAAGAATGTGAGTATTTGCATAGACATGATTTGAAACATCCACCTTGTTTCATGATTGAATATACAGTTGTTGAATTCCTGCCACCACATTCTGGTTTAATGCAGTGGCAACAGACCATTAATCCTATTAACTGTAAAGCTTTTCCTTTAGCGGAAGAATGAAATCTGCACCTTACACGTATATAATGCTCCCCATAAATAATTCTTGTGGTGACTCTGCTCCTATGAACATCAAATATGCTGGTGTACGATGACGGCTACCATCACTCCACTTATGCACTTACTGTCACCCATATCCAGAGCACGTGCTTCTTGCTAATTAAGGGAATTTTTCAGACAAGTCAGCCCTTATTCTTCAGCTGACCAAAGCTAAAATGTGAAATTGGAGTCACTTTAGCAAGGGTAAATTTTCACTAGCGTTTTGCACTGAATTTAAAATGACAAATCAAGTGGCATTTACTCCATTACGGAGCAGCGAAAATGTGATTTTTCTTTTAGATGGTAGTAAAATGCACCAAAATCTTCCAATGGGTATTTTTTTGGCCCTATTCATGCCATTTATCAACGGCGGTTGGTGTGCGTTCTCTGTTACCCTCATTTCCACACGCTAAGACGAAACCTTTTAAGGGAAGTACTGACACACAAAAATAAGTGAGAAGCCAACAATTTTCCTTCGTGCTTTCCACTTCTTCCCACTACTGTTTACTTATATATCTTCTACCAGTCTTCTTATGTCCCACCGAAGGCCCAGATGGGTGTATTTGCAGGTGTCACAAAGCTACCTCATAACACCTACAAAGAAGTAAAAAACGCAGAAGTCTTCTTTGAATACTCCAGCTTCTGTTGATTAAGGCGTAAAAGAGATAGTGCGACTAACGTCGCAAAAATGATGGCTATAATTCTCATCCTTGGGCTTAATAAGCTTTAATCGCCCTTTTGTTAAAAGAAGGAAAATCCTGTGTTCGGATTTGTGGAAAGTGAGATGCAGCATTGTTTATAAAGGTGGAGGGTTCCCTATTGCAAGGCAGTTAGCAAAATCACGCCGTCTGTAGGTAAAGGTTAT